TATGGCACTCATGGCAAGCGATCAAGTGATGGTAATACTATTCTGTTGGGAGACTTTAATGCTGATATCAGATCCTGTGACAGTAAACTGAAGAGGCGTGCCAAATACCTACACAGATGTGTACAAGAACGACACCTACTATCTGCTGTTCCAACTGACGACCAGTCTCTCTATACCTTCACCACTAAGTGTAGATCACCAGTACCATGATTGACTATGTACTAACGAACATAGACTACCTATCAGCTGTGATGGGACACTAGTGTTAGCTATAATGTATCAGACCATATGCAGGCCATTGTGTATATCGACTGTAATAACCCAGATAAGCGCTACCATGATAATAGACTGCAGTGGAGGAAAGCCAGCGAGGTGGATCTGATGCTATACAGGTATGAAACCGAGAATTACTTCAGAAACACTACTCTCGACAGATGTCAGTACGGATCTTGAGGAGTACATCAGTTGCTGTACAATGAATAGATCATACAGTCACTACATTCATCAGCGTCACGTAGTATCATAACATCAAGCACTGAAACCATACTGGAGGAAGGATATGGGCTGCTGTAAAATCACTAGAAACAGGTAAATCTCCCGGACCTGATGCTATTATATTACCAACGAACCTTTGAAGCGTGCAGGTAGATCACTCTTTACTCACATGTCAGTTATGTTTAATGATATGATAAAATACGAATATGTACCCTCATTCTTATCATATCGGTAAACTTCTGCCAATAGACAAAGTCACGGCAACACTAACCGGGGCAGGTACAGAGGGATAACTCTGACGTCGGTACTCAGCAAACTCTTTGAACGCCCCCTACTCAACAGAATGGAAACATGGGTTAATTAGCGCTTAAAATGCGTTTCCACATTCTCGATAATTTGGATTTCACAAAAACTGAGCTGAGACATCATGATTTAGTTGCCTGCTACACAGAGACGAAATCTTCTGTCTTCAGTACTACACAGAGACGAAATCTTCTGTCTTCTGTGCCTTCCTGGATAACGCCAAGGCCTTTGACAGGGTATGGTTAAATGGATTATTTGCTAAGCTACATAACCCCGATATAACAGGAAAAACGTGGCGTATGTTATGTCATATGTACTCGTCTATGCAGCCCTACGTCACACACTCAGTGTCAATCAGAACTGTTTCCGGTGAAGCAAGGAGTTGGACAGGGTCGCGTTATGTCTGCCTGGTTCTTTACGGTCTATATCAATGGTCTTATCAATGACCGTGATGAATCCGGACTTGGACTTCAGGGGACACTATTCAGGACAGCTGCTTGCAGATGACACGACAGTTGCAAGTAGTTCACCTAGCAGGCTCCAACCCTTGCTCAGTGTTGTGTTGTGTAGTGTCGTGTTGTGTTGTGTTGTGTTGTGTTGTGTTGTGTTGTGTTATGCTTGCAATGGCAACTCATGTACAATGTAAGTACAAGTGCACTACTGACTTCGCCGCATCATCACAACCTCCATCCACGTGTATCTTGTGGAGATGATGAACTTCCCCACAAAGACTCTATCATATATGCGGGAATACATATAAGCAGTATGAAATCATCACTTGAAAGATCCCAAATGGCATGTGAAAAACTCAAGAAACTGATAAACGTCAAACCCAACTCTGGACTCTACCTTGGAGGACTCAGTTCTATAGCATCCACACGTATCTGGGAGAGAGTAATCCTGCCTTGTGCACTGTATGGAGAGGGTAACCCTGCCTTGTGCACTGTATGGATGTGACATCTGGGGACAACTTCGCTCTAGAGAACACGACATGCTTGACACCATCCAACGATACTTCTGCTAAAAAGTACAAGGTTTTCCAAAGCAAACAGCTAACCCGGTTGTACTAGGCTGTTTAGACCTAATCAGTGTGCAAGGCTACATAGATAAGCAAGCTCTGCTGATGTTTGGAAAACTCTGTAGATCGCACTGTGACATGGAGTTGAGAAGATATTCACATATCGTCTTGGCCAACATCAAAGTGATAACACCGACAACACTTACTGAGGATTTGAATAGATATGCCCTGATCAGACACCATAGTCCACTGAATGTATGGAAACTGGCTATCCATGCTCCCGGCTTCTCCCCTATAACGATGCTTGAAAGAAATGAGCTGTTTGACAGTCTATGTAATGTCACTGATGGGAATACTTTTATTGGCTGGTGATCTCATGATGACGATGTCATTATGGCTTTTATGCTTGGAGGTGAACCCGACGGTTTCTCGGATGTTCCATTTGAAACGTGGAGAGACTGTATGCTCCTTGTAGCCCGCTAAATTGTATCATCTCTTGCAACCTCATTTCATTGTATAGGTATATGTGCATACCTCTTGCTGACGTATAAATCAGGTGTGTCCATGAGTAACGGGAATGAGTTAGTGAGTGAGATGGGTTTTACGCTGCTTTTAGCTGAGCCCCTCCGATGAAATTCTTGATATCATGAAAAAGGAAACAGGCTAATATATATATTAAGAAAGGTGTGATAATTTATGGATGACAACTTCTTTAGCATATCCGTCGTCAAGCGAGCGTGCCGAAACGTCGCATCATGATATACTTCCCATCAAACGTTTACACTCACATAAACCACTCACTATGGTTACATCGAAGATTGATTTCTCCACTAACTTGGGGAACCAACTATAAACCTTATGCAGATGAATTGCACGAGGATCATGCATCAATATACATCGTGTATGTGAACAGCTGCGTTTTGGTGTAAAGGTTTGTTAAGAATTCGCCAAATTTCACTGATTTGTATCATTTATTGAACTCATGACAATAATCTTTTCAACGATACGAATTTGTTTTACAATACATCAGTTCATGTGTAAACGGTACCTTTAAACAGAATGGAATATTTGCACAATTTAATTTAGTTGCCTGAAGTAAGTGGCTATATTTACACTTGTGAGTCTAAACCTTTGATGGGAAGTATATAATGAAGAAGTTCCCCTGACCCCCCTCTTGGCTCCGCCAACGCAAAAAAATATCTTCAATGTGGTCTTAATTCATTTTCAAAAGGGGTGTGTGACACCCCCCACCCCGGTTGGATCCGCCCATGATATATATACCAACAGAAACGTGGCAAGCATATACGCAAGTAAATCAAACAAATTTGGTTTCCCCAAATAGTGAAAACTTGAATACTTATTTACTTACACACCTCAGTACAGTTCTTGAACTCACGCAACATTCGCTCGGCAGAGAGGTCAGGCTAGACTAAGGCTTAGTCTCTGAATATATATAATTTTGATAGTAACAATTAAAACAAGCCCATTTATATTGAAAAGGAGCCCTAGGGAGACCAGAGATTCAGAACCTGAGGAAATCTAGACTTGCTTTATTTAGGGCTTTAGCACAGCAGAGAGGGCTTGGCAGTAGGGAAATTAATGTGGTTCAGGGACTGAGAGACAGACTAAGGTCAGGCGTGAAGAACGCTGCATCAGTGCTCGGGAGATGAAGGTGGGGGGGCTCACAGCTGTGTGACGCGCCGTCCTCGACTATACCCCCTCATCGCATCTCATGTCACCCGGGACCATACCCCCACTTATCTATAAAACACAAGGTCTCTCGCCGCTCTACTGCTTCACTATAACGCGATACTTCACAGAATGAATACAGAAAACAACATGGCGTCAGGGCCTATACGACTTATGCATTAAGACGCCAGGGGTGCTAAACAATTCACGTGTTGATTCATTGAACCTGATCCGAATGTGTAACTTCATGTTACATATGTACAGGGCTACCAGCTGTATAGAGAACTGCCACACTCTGACAATGTACACACTTAAATAGAGAGAGACACAGATGACTGACAGAAATCAGTTGTCCTGGCAATATGTCATTCCTTGTGTCAGTATTGGAAGTGTATCAACGGCGCGTACACGTGAAATTTCAGCAAGCCATGGAATTGAGTAAGCTTTATATTTACGGTTCAACAAAGGTTTTTTATTAGCACATGCTAGCGAAACAATATCTGTTAGCAGTTCATTATATAACACTAACTCACATCATTTGTGCGAAAATCATATGCTCTCAACAAACACGCAAACTTTCAGATTGTGCACGTGCTTTTTTTAACGAATATGGGTGAAATATTGCCGAAGTAGTGTGTTGCACAGTCACTGAACAATATAATTTCCTTCCACCTAGACCTTTCTGTTATGCAAAAACTAATTAAATTAAACGAACCAAGATTTTCCTCAAGTTGTGGATCTTCTATCGCAAAAGGTCCCTTTTCTGTTTAAATGGCATCAGTTATTTGTCTCGATATTAAATATTTTATGAGAATAAGTATTAGCAGAGACCATGTAGCATAGATTATTATATGGTCTCTGGTATTAGCCTATTGTCGAACCGACATTATATTTTACTCGGTGCTATCTGTTGCTCGCTGAGTAGGGAGGCTTGTATCAACTTAAGAATCAAGTGTGAAATTGTACACGGGTACGGTGTAGATTGAATTGTGTTCGATGGGTTGAAATGCGTAATACTAGTTGTCAGGCTAACAAGGACGACCTAGATATAAGGTGGTGGGAATGTCAGTTTCCCAAAGGTTGGTTCCTGATACGCACTCAAAGCTGAAATGTTGAAGCGAGTTAACATTGACTCGGTGCCGTCTACAGGAGCAAGACGAGGTGAGCGCACTATCACAAAACTAGTCTAATTGAAACGGTGCTGAGATAAATGTGAACTTCGTGCGAGAAGGACCACTGTCACAGGAACATCATGCGCACTAAAATAACCATTTACGAATCTATTAACAAACACAGGGTAACAGAACCTTTACTATCTGTTAAATTTGTAAATGGACGCTACATATTCAGTTTTTTTTTATTCAAATGATTGCTAAGGAAGGTTGAATATTATACCACGGTAACTATTTATGTCGAACACCGGCATGTTTTATGGTTAACAAGACAGCTCCTAACAGCGTTTGTTAGACACTACAAAAAACAGTTGCGGAGGAGGTAATAGTTACACGCGCTGCTGTGGATTACGTTACCCCCATCTGTCATCGGGTCATGTGCAGGGCTGACTAGAATGGGTGCGTCGTTGACTCTCTGATACGAATTTGTTCCGTGAGATTTGGTAAGTCGACGAGGAGAGTCCACTTTCTTGTGTTGTGAATATTTTTGAGATAAATGTTAATTACGAGTGTTGTCATTGTGACAAAAGTGCAATGTCACGGCAACAGTGAGCGAGGGTTGAACAACAGTTTGATAGAAGCGACAAAATCCTTTCTACATCCAAAACATGGATTGTACAATTGTAAATTCTGACTTTATCACGAGTATATATTTGATTCAGCAGTATTGCTTCACAAATTCTCATTTTTTTTGTGGGAAAGAGTTCCTTCCGTTCAACCCTAAACCTAAACCTAACCCTAAACCTAACCTTAACTTAAATTTTGGACTTTTAGTCATTTTGTGAGTTCTCTAGTAATTGTTGTGTTAAGTTTTGTTAATAATTTTAGTATATTTATAAATATTATTTGGGATGGGGGAACGGGAGGAACTCTTACCCACGAAGAATATATCATTAATTAACCATTTTGTTATCATGTAATAGTATATATTTGTGTGTTAATCCTAATGTTCACATCAGGTCGGTTGCCTCAACATGGGGTGCACTAGTCCAGCATATAACTATACCAAGGTGTGCTCAACGTCTAGCCGGCGAATTCAAGTTCTTTGACGCACTTCACTACGCAGAGAGGCACAACAGATTTAGGCATAAACGAGGGTAGAAACTCAACCTATCGACTAATACAAGTGCATGGATTGATAAAACTTTCATTTATCTTCAAAACGAAACACTTACCTCCTCTAAAAACAACTCATTTTATTACTTAAATGACCTGAAACATAGAGACCCCCTCCTACTTTCCACCATTTGTCGGCAATACTGTTATGGTAATTAGCTGTTGAATATAAAGTGGAAACGCATTAAAACGTATTTAGGAACAAATAGAAACTGCTAAAAGTTCTTCCTCCGACTTCAGAGCGTCATGTAATCACGGTCCGTTTAATACGATTCCTTTTTTTGATACAACTGCTAATTACCATAACCAAAATGGTCGACAAATGGTGGAAAGCTGGTGGGGGTCTTTATGTTTCAGGTCATTTAGTAATAAAGTGAGTCGATTTTAGTGGAGGTAAGTGTCTCGTTTTGAAGACGATTGTTGTTTTAGTAATGCATGCACATGCATTAGTCGATAGGTTGAGTCTTCATTCTTGTTTTTGCCTAAAACTGTTCCGCTCAAATTTCTTGCGGAAAGGTGCGTCAAAGAAAATGCACTCGCCGTATAAACTCGATGTAGGCCTTAGCTGGAATACGAGTTTATTCATGTGAACTAGTGGTGCACCTGCAGCTGTGAGGTCTTCACGCCCAGGCTAGTCAGTTCATCCAAGTACTGTTGGGTGCTGGCTAAACAGACACACACATAGTCAATGAAAACATCACCAAAACAAATATGACAGTAAATGTGATTTCTGTTAAGAACATTTTACATCAAACCCAGTTATTTAGACAGCTACACATATTTATATTCATACACTGTTTATGTGTTACTGCAGAACTGAAAGTGAGCCAAAAAAACATTGTTGAAAACATTTTTAAGTTGTAACACCATCTTTCATAAAAGCAGATCAAATCACCTTTTGAATTCAGCACTATTCCTAATTTACTATTACTTCTTATGAGGACAGCCTCGGTCAAAGGTCACCTGGCGTTGAGACAGGCTAACAGTACATTACATAATAATGAGGTCCGGATACATGTATCAGATTAGTGGGTGGTGAGATGAATCGTGGGTTAGCATCACGGTCAAGGTTACTGCACTTTGTTTGGCAACTTGTGACGACAGTGAGGTCTTGAGAGGCTTGTCAGTGTTCCAGATAGTGTTGGGAATGGGTTAAAATCTCGTAATTGATGACTGGTTCATTACAACCCATCAATCATCGACAATAATTGGTTAGCTCCATCTATCAGATTTTCCTGTTATGTTTGTAACTGCACAAAAAATAGGAAGAAAAAACATGTAGTCTTTGGGATTTTTTCCAAACTCACAACATACATTTGCAAATTTTAGATCTTTAAAAGATGAGTAGTATGTTACGAGCATAAAGTTCCTGGAATCTTTAAGAAAAATTCAGTCATAACTTGGAATGAGCTTGTAGTGCTTATGAAATGTAAATTTAACGACAGAGACAAAACCAACCTTGTGAAAAATATTGTTAATGCAAAGAAGTGTTCCAAAATTGCTTTTGTTCAATTACGAGAAAACATGATCAATTGCTTGGTCGTTTAGTCACGGAGACCAATCTTTGATTATTTCAATTAATCGGACCACCACTAGTTCTGGATAGCCTCTGAGTTTGAGGAATACTCGATTGTATGATGGGGTAGCGTGGACATGTGTTTAGGAGTACATAACACTTTGCAAAACATGTATATTCTGGCCTTGGACTGTCAGCACATGCCCTGAAAACCTGACACTTCATCACAAACAGTTTATAAACATGGATGCAACAGTTAACTGACAGTGTAGTCAGATTCATATCAGCCACCAAACGAGATTCTTCATTGACTGTTAACTTGTTTGAGAGACATTTTAGAAGGACTTGTGTTGTGACCCAGCTGTTTAATCTTCCCATCTTGTGGCAGAAACAACGGTCAATTAGGTAAGCGTGAGATATATGTATTATTGGTTTGGTTATTGTTCAATGCTGCACTCAGCAATATTCCAGCTATGTGGTGGCAGTCTGTAAATAATTGTATCTGGACCAGACAATCCAGTGATCAACAGCACAAGCATTGATCTACACTTCTCAGATACAATGACACGTGTCAACCAAGTCAGCAAACCTGACCAGCCAATCCTGTTAGCTGCCTCTTTACGACAATCATGGGTTGCTGACGACCAATTCAAACCCGGATCTGTATGGATGAATAACTACTTTATTACATTGAGGAGCGATGGTTTGGTGTAGATTCCAACACCGTGTTGAAGCATTTGATGTACAGGGTAGTGTAGGGGGGCATATACAGATATGAAGTAGTGGTTTTACAGTGGAGCAGAGACGCCTGTTCAGTATACACTGTAGAAGCTCTCAGGTAACTCAGGTACTTTCAAATTTGTTTGGGTGTACAGAGTGAAGACTTGTTTAAGGTGATTTGGGTCAGTTGTAAGATGTTGCTTAGTGGAACAGATGTTGTGAGCCCATCTTGCTGGGCTTTATTCTTGACTTGAGGTGGATGTTTGGGAGTGTAGTGACCATGGTGAAGGGCCTGGTCTGTGTGGGTTGGTTTTGCGATATACGGTGGTCTGTGTGGGTTGGTTTTGCGATATACGGTGGTCTGTGTGGGTCGGTTTGCGATATACGGTGGTCTGTAGTTACCGTCCTGTACCAGCACATGATGGAAGGGTGTTGGTTATCAGATTCATAGTTTACATTATGTATGGTTTCATTAGATCAATGTGAAGAACAATGTAACATTTGACAGTCATAACTTGTTAACATGCTCATGATACATGTATTCATGAAGCTTATTTTATCATTGCGGGGGATATTGATGACTTTGTCTTCTTGTTTTATCATTGCGGGGGATATTGATGACTTTGTCTTCTTGTTTAATTATACCCCCGCTACGAAGTAACGGGGGTATATAGCGTTCATTCTGTCCGTCCCGAAAATTTGTCCGGAGCACATCTCTTAAAGTTTACATGCTAGGTTCACCAAACTTCACACACATGTTAATCATTACCCATTGATGTGCCTTTTGCTATTTTAATTTTTTTTCAGAATTTTGTTTTTTTGCTGTTTCCATGGAAACATGACTTAGTGCCAAATGTGTTTGGTGGTTTTTATCCGGAGCATATCTCTTAAAGTTTACATGCTAGGTTCACCAAACTTCCATGGAAACACGACTTAGTGCCAAATGTGTTTGATGGTTTTGTCCGGAGCATTTTCTCTTAAAGTTTACATGCTAGGTTCACCAAACTTCACACACATGTTAATCATTACCCATTGATGTGCCTTTTGCTATTTTAAAGTTTTTTCAGAATTTTGTTTTTTTGCTGTTTCCATGGAAACACGACTTAGTGCCAAATGTGTTTGGTGGTTTTTGTCCGGAGCATATCTCTTAAAGTTTACATGCTAGGTTCACCAAACTTGACACACATGTTAATCATAACCCATTGATGTGCCTTTTGCTATTTTAATTTTTTTTCAGAATTTTGTTTTTTTGCTGTTTCCATGGAAACATGACTTGGTGCCAAATGTGTTTGATGGTTTTGTCCGGAGCATATCTCTTAAAGTTTACATGCTAGGTTCACCAAACTTCACACACATGTTAATCATTACCCATTGATGTGCCTTTTGCTATTTTAATTTTTTTTCAGAATTTTGTTTTTGCTGTTTCCATGGAAACATGACTTAGTGCCAAATGTGTTTGGTGGTTTTGTCCGGAGCATATCTCTTAAAGTTTACATGCTAGGTTCACCAAACTTCACACACATGTTAATCATAACCCATTGATGTGCCTTTTGCTATTTTAAAGTTTTTTCAGAATTTTGTTTTTTTGCTGTTTCCATGGAAACATGACTTAGTGCCAAATGTGTTTGGTGGTTTTTGTCCGGAGCATATCTCTTAAAGTTTACATGCTATGTTCACCAAACTTCACACACATGTTAATCATAACCCATTGATGTGCCTTTTGCTATTTTAAAGTTTTTTCAGAATTTTGTTTTTTTGTGTTTCCATGGAAACACGACTTAGTGCCAAATGTGTTTGGTGGTTTTGTCCGAGCATATCTCTTAAAGTTTACATGCTAGGTTCACCAAACTTCACACACATGTTAATCATAACCCATTGATGTGCCTTTTGCTATTTTAAAGTTTTTTTCAGAATTTTGTTTTTTTGCTGTTTCCATGGAAACATGACTTAGTGCCAAATGTGTTTGGTGGTTTTTGTCCGGAGCATATCTCTTAAAGTTTACATGCTAGGTTCACCAAACTTGACACACATGTTAATCATAACCCATTGATGTGCCTTTTGCTATTTTAAAGTTTTTTCAGAATTTTGTTTTTTGTCTGTTTCCATGGAAACATGACTTGGTGCCAAATGTGTTTGATGGTTTTGTCCAGAGCATATCTCTTAAAGTTTACATGCTAGGTTCACCAAACTTCACACACATGTTAATCATTACCTATTGATGTGCCTTTTGCTATTTTAAAGTTTTTCAGAATTTGTTTTGTTGTTGTTTCCATGGAAACATGACTTGGTGCCAAATGTGTTTGATGGTTACCTGGCCACAGCATATCATCGAAACTATACATGCTAGGTTCACCAAACTTAATACACTAGTTAATCATGACCCACAGATATGCCATGTGCTAAAAAATAACAATCTTCATCTACGTCCACTTCATTGTGTGCAACAAGTTCAATTGTATGTCAGGTTTCCACGGAAAACACAAAAAAGTAATGTTTCCATAAATTATTACTGTAATCAGTACATGGCAAAACAATTATCTAACATGTATATAAAGTTTAGTAGAGTCAAGGAGAAAGTCTTGTGAGCTGCTGATCCTTGTCATATTATATATATCAATATCAGTCATTTCCATGTCCCAAAGTGGGAAGCGGGGGTATGTGGGCTGTGCTCACTTCTACACTTGTTGTGTTTGTAGCTTGATATTTCTTGCCATAAACACCCTTATTTGGCTGTTATCTGCTACATGTCTCAATAGTGTGGATACATTTTATTGTAAACCTTCATACCTTTTATATGACATGGTATGAAATATATGATTTTAAAAATACTAATATTATGAAACTACGAAAGTTGTGATTTCATCACACCAAGTTCTTCAGCTAGCAGCATGATGTTGAGTGTTTTTGTTAATGTTTTCAAGGAATGGCGTATAGTGATGATGAAAACACACCCTTAGTGAGGAATGCCCCAGGAATTGTGGGTAATGGCAACATCAACACAAGAGACACATCCAGTTATGAGGAGCTGTTTAAGGACAGTGAGCCATGTCCCACGTGCCGAGGTCTGGGACGGGTCACTAAAGGTCAGTTGTCAATCCTTCATGTTTGTTCTGTGCTCCTCCTCCACCATGATCACATGTGAAGATGTTCATCTCCCCTGCAGTGTAACCGTTTCCACAGATGGGGGGAGACAGCCAGCGCTGATCAGCGAGCGTTCAGATTATCTCCTGGACTCAAGTCTACCTTGTCCCATGAGCCAGCACACCGCTTCCAAATAAGGCCGGGTTGGGTTCACATGAAATAGGGCAGTACATCGCTTTATGTTATTATGTCATGTGAAAGACATGCAACATATGGACATTGCACAATGGATGTATGTGTTAATAAACATTATTACCCATATGGTGAACCATAACCAGTGTCATATACAGTATATCATATGTGCACATATCACTTTTGCCTAGCAACCATTGTTTCTGTATTTTGACGTCAGTGACATTATCAAACAATTGAACGTGATGTCAATGAAGAGGGCCATCACACTTGCTTACCGTCTTTACTACACAAATGTACATGAATATAATGGATAATAAAGAAATTATTACACTCAAGCAAGTGTGTCATATGACTTGTACAAAAATCATGCAAAATTATGTATTAATACAAAATTTCACACTTGTTTCGAATTAGTCATATGACACACTTGCTCGTGTAATAATCTCTATTTATTTCTGGAATAGACTCAGAAGCTTGTAATGGCGACAACCTGATGTTCAGAAAATAATAGTGGAGTGCTATAAGTGAAAAGCAGCAGTTTTCAGAATCAGTGCAAGTGTACTCTCAAATGTCCAGAATTATGTCTGTAAAGTCAGCCTTCAAGAAAGTGTCCCATTCAGAAACATCTGATAGAATCAAGTCAGGCATGTTCATAAAGAACAACCAAGGCACATAACATGTGACTCTACTGTAAGTCAACAGGTACAATGTACTACACTTGAAACAATGTTATACAGTGAATTTTAGTGTTGGGAATCGGGAAATCAAATCCACTATCGATTATTGGAGAAATTGTGCTGAACAATTATCGATTATAATCGAAATATATACATTTTTAATGTAATCACCAATTTTAAGGTTTTTTTTATATCTAATCCTGTCATGCAGTGAAATGCACAGATGCAAGAAAGACACTGGAATTGTAATTAAACAATAAAAGTGGTTAAGATTTTACAATGCACATAGCTTTAAGCTGTTGAGCACGTTTGTTCGTGAATATTCGTCAAATTTAATGGTTAGTTTACTTCATTCAAGTGCGTTTTACTAAAGCAACAAAATTTCCGATTAATTGAAAATATGTTTTTGACAATCGATCATTATTTTTAATCCTTCTTTCGATCGATTTTCGATTATGTTTGATCATCGGAACAACACTAGTGATTATCACAGCTATATATAGCACAGCAGACATACGTGGGCACCTTCTGTTGTCATGATGCAGGAAATACAGCCAATGATCAACTTTCATCTGTCAGTTGATCACGGGTGATGAGAAAGGGGAAAAATCTATGGATGTCAACTTGTTTTTAATATAACTGTTGTTGACATCCATACATGTTCACCTTCCTGTGTTACAGTGTATCACTACTAAATCCATTCAAAGATTTGATGATGATGATGATGATGATGATGATATATTTTCAGAACAAAAGGGCGAGCTTGTGGCATTAATTCCTCTCAAGGATAAAAGACTGAAGCCAAGACGAACGTAAGAAAGCAAATTTCCTTTGAGTTGCAGAATATGCTTTCTATCAGTTCAATCCACCCAGGGCAAATATATCTTTCAGGCAATTTTTTGTGAAGTTTGAATATATCATGCAGCATTCATGCCATTAGGTACTGGTCATAATTGTTTTTTTGTTTTTTTTGGTGGGGATGTCACCCAATTTGATTAAAATAATATGCTTAAAAATCATAGGAAGGGAGAGGGTGTCATTGATTTTGTACACCACCCCCAAGCCATAAATTATGAACGGTCCCTCCGCAACTAGTCCTAAGCTCAAGTCTAGAAAATTCTGTTTGGTTCAGATAGATCAACTGGTAATGATGAGTGTTAAAATCCACCTAATGAACACTGCTGAAGATGAACTAATTTCAGATGAGTAGTTTTTCTGAAAGGTTTTTGACACTGGGTTCCTCCTTTCTGGTGAAAACCCTAGCATTCAAAGTTCAGACATTGGGGAGTTTAAAATTCAGGACACACGGACAGAGCCCTCAGTCACAATGGGATGTAATGTTTTATACTGTCATGTGCATTTATTGTGGACGAACACAAGCTGGGTAATTTGATATCAATTTTAATTGTTTTTTATATCAATATCAAGCTCCTTCACTTTGGTATTGATTTATATGTGTAAATTTGTACCGCGTATCGAGTCTGCTGTGATATGGCTCCAACATCTGTCTGCAGCTTTATTGAAGTTGAATGTTTTTGTGTCACGTACAGCTTCTGATTGTCGTTTGGTACCAGGGCAATTAAATGTGAATTAGATGGTTCAATGAAAACAGCCTGTAGACATTGCTTTTGAGGGAATTCTGATGTTTTTATACAGCCTGAAAGTTTATGCTCAGCGTTGAAGCCTGGACGTTTATGCTCAGTGTTGTAACCTAGAAGTTTATGCTCAGTGTTGTAACCTAGAAGTTTATGCTCAGTGTTGTAGCCTGGAAGTTTATGCTCAGTGTTGTAACCTAGAAGTTTATGCTCAGTGTTGTAACCTAGAAGTTTATGCTCAGTGTTGTAACCTAGAAGTTTATGCTCAGTGTTGTAACCTGTTGTAACCTGAGTTTATGCTCAGTGTTGTAACCTAGAAGTTTATGCTCAGTGTTGTAGCCTGGAAGTTTATGCTCAGTGTTGTAGCCTGGAAGTTTATGCTCAGTGTTGTAACCTAGAAGTTTAGGCTCAGTGTTGTAACCTAGAAGTTTAGGCTCAGTGTTGTATCCTGGAAGTTTATGCTCAGTGTTGTAACCTGGAAGTTTATGCTCAGTGTTGTAGCCTAGAAGTTTATGGTCAGTGTTGTAGCCTAGAAGTTTATGGTCAGTGTTGTAGCCTAGAAGTTTATGGTCAGTGTTGTAGCCTGGAAGTTTATGCTCAGTGTTGTAACCTGGAAGTTTATGCTCAGTGTTGTAGCCTAGAAGTTTATGCTCAGTGTTGTAGCCTAGAAGTTTAGGCTCAGTGTTGTAGCCTAGAAGTCTATGCTCAGTGTTGTATCCTGGAAGTTCATGCTCAGTGTTGTAGCCTAGAAGTTTATGCTCAGTGTTGTAGCCTGGACGTTTATGCTCAGTGTTGTAACCTAGAAGTTTATGCTCAGTGTTGTAACCTAGAAGTTTATGCTCAGTGTTGTAGCCTGGACGTTTATGCTCAGTGTTGTAACCTGGAAGTTTATGCTCAGTGTTGTATCCTAGAAGTTTATGCTCAGTGTTGTAGCCTAGAAGTTTAGGCTCAGTGTTGTATCCTGGAAGTTTATGCTCAGTGTTGTAACCTGGAGGTTTATGCTCAGTGTTGTAGCCTAGAAGTTTAGGCTCAGTGTTGTAACCTAGAAGTTTAGGCTCAGTGTTGTAACCTAGAAGTTTAGGCTCAGTGTTGTATCCTGGAAGTTTATGCTCAGTGTTGTAACCTGGAAGTTTATGCTCAGTGTTGTAGCCTAGAAGTTTATGGTCAGTGTTGTAGCCTAGAAGTTTATGGTCAGTGTTGTAACCTTTATGCTCAGTGTTGTAACCTGAAGTTTATGCTCAGTGTTGTAACCTGGAAGTTTATGCTCAGTGTTGTAACCTAGAAGTTTATGCTCAGTGTTGTAGCCTGGAAGTTTATGCTCAGTGTTGTAGCCTGGACGTTTATGCTCAGTGTTGTAACCTAGAAGTTTATGGTCAGTGTTGTAGCCTGGAAGTTTATGCTCAGTGTTGTAACCTGGAAGTTTATGCTCAGTGTTGTATCCTGGAAGTTTATGCTCAGTGTTGTAGCCTAGAAGTTTATGCTCAGTGTTGTAACCTAGAAGTTTATGGTCAGTGTTGTAGCCTGGAAGTTTATGCTCAGTGTTGTAACCTAGAAGTTTATGGTCAGTGTTGTAACCTGGAAGTTTATGCTCAGTGTTGTAACCTGGAAGTTTATGCTCAGTGTTGTAACCTGGAAGTTTATGCTCAGTGTTGTAACCTGGAAGTTTATGCTCAGTGTTGTAACCTAGAAGTTTATGCTCAGTGTTGTAGCCTAGAAGTTTATGCTCAGTGTTGTAGCCTGGACGTTTATGCTCAGTGTTGTAACCTAGAAGTTTATGGTCAGTGTTGTAGCCTGGAAGTTTATGCTCAGTGTTGTAACCTGGAAGTTTATGCTCAGTGTTGTAACCTAGAAGTTTATGCTCAGTGTTGTAACCTGGAAGTTTATGCTCAGTGTTGTAACCTAGAAGTTTATGCTCAGTGTTGTAACCTGGATGTTTATGCTCAGTGTTGTAGCCTAGAAGTTTATGCTCAGTGTTGTAACCTAGAAGTTTATGGTCAGTGTTGTAACCTGGAAGTTTATGCTCAGTGTTGTAACCTGGAAGTTTATGCTCAGTGTTGTAACCTGGAAGTTTATGCTCAGTGTTGTAACCTTGAAGTTTATGCTCAGTGTTGTAACCTAGAAGTTTATGCCTCAGTGTTGTAGCCTGAAGTTTATGCTCAGTGTTGTAGCCTGGACGCTTTATGCTCAGTGTTGTAACCTGAAGTTTATGGTCAGTGTTGTAGCCTGGAAGTTTATGCTCAGTGTTGTAACCTGGAAGTTTATGCTCAGTGTTGTATCCTGGAAGTTTATGCTCAGTGTTGTAGCCTAGAAGTTTATGCTCAGTGTTGTAACCTAGAAGTTTATGGTCAGTGTTGTAGCCTGGAAGTTTATGCTCAGTGTTGTAACTTGGAAGTTTATGCTCAGTGTTGTAACCTAGAAGTTTATGCTCAGTGTTGTAGCCTAGAAGTTTATGCTCAGTGTTGTAGCCTGGACGTTTATGCTCAGTGTTGTAACCTAGAAGTTTATGGTCAGTGTTGTAACCTGGAAGTTTATGCTCAGTGTTGTATCCTGGAAGTTTATGCTCAGTGTTGTAGCCTAGAAGTTTATGCTCAGTGTTGTAGCCTGGAAGTTTAGGCTCAGTGTTGTAACCTAGAAGTTTAGGCTCAGTGTTGTAACGCATGAGAAGTTTAGGCTCAGTGTTGTAACCTAGAAGTTTATGCTCAGTGTTGTATCCTGGAAGTTTATGCTCAGTGTTGTAGCCTGGAAGTTTATGCTCAGTGTTGTAGCCTGGAAGTTTAGGCTCAGTGTTGTAGCCTGGAAGTTTAGGCTCAGTGTTGTAGCCTGGAAGTTTATGCTCAGTGTTGTAGCCTGGAAGTTTAGGCTCAGTGTTGTAGCCTAGAAGTTTATGGTCAGTGTTGTAGCCTGGAAGTTTATGCTCAGTGTTGTAACCTAGAAGTTTATGCTCAGTGTTGTAGCCTGGAAGTTTATGCTCAGTGTTGTAGCCTAGAAGTTTATGGTCAGTGTTGTAGCCTGGAAGTTTAGGCTCAGTGTTGTAGCCTGGAAGTTTATGCTCAGTGTTGTAACCTAGAAGTTTATGCTCAGTGTTGTAGCCTGGAAGTTTAGGCTCAGTGTTGTAGCCTAGAAGTTTATGGTCAGTGTTGTAGCCTGGAAGTTTATGCTCAGTGTTGTAGCCTGGACGTTTATGCTCAGTGTTGTAACCTGGAAGTTTATGCTCAGTGTTGTAGCCTGGAAGTTTATGCTCAGTGTTGTAGCCTGGAAGTTTATGCTCAGTGTTGTAGCCTGGAAGTTTAGGCTCAGTGTTGTAGCCTAGAAGTTTATGGTCAGTGTTGTAGCCTGGACGTTTATGCTCAGTGTTGTAACCTGGAAGTTTATGCTCAGTGTTGTATCCTGGAAGTTTATGCTCAGTGTTGTAGCCTAGAAGTTTATGCTCAGTGTTGTAGCCTAGAAGTTTAGGCTCAGTGTTGTATCCTGGAAGTTTATGCTCAGTGTTGTAACCTGGAGGTTTATGCTCAGTGTTGTAGCCTAGAAGTTTAGGCTCAGTGTTGTAACCTAGAAGTTTAGGCTCAGTGTTGTATCCTGGAAGTTTATGCTCAGTGTTGTAACCTGGACGTTTATGCTCAGTGTTGTAGCCTAGAAGTTTATGGTCAGTGTTGTAGCCTAGAAGTTTATGGTCAGTGTTGTAGCCTGGAAGTTTATGCTCAGTGTTGTAACCTGGAAGTTTATGCTCAGTGTTGTAACCTAGAAGTTTATGCTCAGTGTTGTAGCCTGGAAGTTTATGCTCAGTGTTGTAGCTTGGACGTTTATGCTCAGTGTTGTAACCTAGAAGTTTATGGTCAGTGTTGTAGCCTGGAAGTTTATGCTCAGTGTTGTAACCTGGAAGTTTATGCTCAGTGTTGTATCCTGGAAGTTTATGCTCAGTGTTGTAGCCTAGAAGTTTATGCTCAGTGTTGTAACCTAGAAGTTTATGGTCAGTGTTGTAGCCTGGAAGTTTATGCTCAGTGTTGTAACCTGGAAGTTTATGCTCAGTGTTGTAACCTAGAAGTTTATGCTCAGTGTTGTAACCTGGAAGTTTATGCTCAGTGTTGTAGCCTAGAAGTTTATGCTCAGTGTTGTAACCTAGAAGTTTATGGTCAGTGTTGTAACCTGGAAGTTTATGCTCAGTGTTGTAACCTGGAAGTTTATGCTCAGTGTTGTAACCTGGAAGTTTATGCTCAGTGTTGTAACCTGGAAGTTTATGCTCAGTGTTGTAACCTAGAAGTTTATGCTCAGTGTTGTAGCCTAGAAGTTTATGCTCAGTGTTGTAGCCTGGACGTTTATGCTCAGTGTTGTAACCTAGAAGTTTATGGTCAGTGTTGTAGCCTGGAAGTTTATGCTCAGTGTTGTAACCTGGAAGTTTATGCTCAGTGTTGTATCCTGGAAGTTTATGCTCAGTGTTGTAGCCTAGAAGTTTATGCTCAGTGTTGTAACCTAGAAGTTTATGGTCAGTGTTGTAGCCTGGAAGTTTATGCTCAGTGTTGTAACCTGGAAGTTTATGCTCAGTGTTGTATCCTGGAAGTTTATGCTCAGTGTTGTAGCCTAGAAGTTTATGCTCAGTGTTGTAGCCTGGACGTTTATGCTCAGTGTTGTAACCTAGAAGTTTATGGTCAGTGTTGTAACCTGGAAGTTTATGCTCAGTGTTGTATCCTGGAAGTTTATGCTCAGTGTTGTAGCCTAGAAGTTTATGCTCAGTGTTGTAGCCTGGAAGTTTAGGCTCAGTGTTGTAACCTAGAAGTTTAGGCTCAGTGTTGTAACGTAGAAGTTTAGGCTCAGTGTTGTAACCTAGAAGTTTATGCTCAGTGTTGTATCCTGGAAGTTTATGCTCAGTGTTGTAGCCTGGAAGTTTATGCTCAGTGTTGTAGCCTGGAAGTTTAGGCTCAGTGTTGTAGCCTAGAAGTTTAGGCTCAGTGTTGTAGCCTGGAAGTTTATGCTCAGTGTTGTAGCCTGGAAGTTTAGGCTCAGTGTTGTAGCCTAGAAGTTTATGGTCAGTGTTGTAGCCTGGAAGTTTATGCTCAGTGTTGTAACCTAGAAGTTTATGCTCAGTGTTGTAGCCTGGAAGTTTATGCTCAGTGTTGTAGCCTAGAAGTTTATGGTCAGTGTTGTAGCCTGGAAGTTTAGGCTCAGTGTTGTAGCCTGGAAGTTTATGCTCAGTGTTGTAACCTAGAAGTTTATGCTCAGTGTTGTAGCCTGGAAGTTTAGGCTCAGTGTTGTAGCCTAGAAGTTTATGGTCAGTGTTGTAGCCTGGAAGTTTATGCTCAGTGTTGTAGCCTGGACGTTTATGCTCAGTGTTGTAACCTGGAAGTTTATGCTCAGTGTTGTAGCCTGGAGGTTTATGCTCAGTGTTGTATCCTGGAAGTTTATGCTCAGTGTTGTAACCTGGAAGTTTATGCTCAGTGTTGTAGCCTAGAAGTTTATGCTCAGTGTTGTAGCCTGGAAGTTTATGCTCAGTGTTGTAGCCTGGAAGTTTATGCTCAGTGTTGTAGCCTGGAAGTTTAGGCTCAGTGTTGTAGCCTAGAAGTTTATGGTCAGTGTTGTAGCCTGGAAGTTCATGCTCAGTGTTGTAGCCTGGAGGTTTATGCTCAGTGTTGTATCCTGGAAGTTTATGCTCAGTGTTGTAACCTGGAAGTTTATGCTCAGTGTTGTAGCCTAGAAGTTTAGGCTCAGTGTTGTAACCTAGAAGTTTAGGCTCAGTGTTGTAACCTAGAAGTTTAGGCTCAGTGTTGTATCCTGGAAGTTTATGCTCAGTGTTGTAACCTGGAAGTTTATGCTCAGTGTTGTATCCTGGAAGTTTATGCTCAGTGTTGTAACCTAGAAGTTTATGCTCAGTGTTGTAGCCTAGAAGTTTAGGCTCAGTGTTGTAACCTAGAGGTTTAGGCTCAGTGTTGTAACCTAGAAGTTTAGGCTCAGTGTTGTAACCTAGAAGTTTATGCTCAGTGTTGTATCCTGGAAGTTTATGCTCAGTGTTGTAGCCTGGAAGTTTATGCTCAGTGTTGTAGCCTGGAAGTTTAGGCTCAGTGTTGTAGCCTAGAAGTTTAGGCTCAGTGTTGTAGCCTGGAAGTTTATGCTCAGTGTTGTAGCCTGGAAGTTTAGGCTCAGTGTTGTAGCCTGGAAGTTTATGGTCAGTGTTGTAGCCTGGAAGTTTATGCTCAGTTTTGTAACCTAGAAGTTTATGCTCGGTGTTGTAGCCTGGAAGTTTATGCTCAGTGTTGTAACCTAGAAGTTTATGGTCAGTGTTGTAGCCTGGAAGTTTAGGCTCAGTGTTGTAGCCTGGAAGTTTATGCTCAGTGTTGTAACCTGGACGTTTAGGCTCAGTGTTGTAACCTGGAAGTTTATGCTCAGTGTTGTAGCCTGGAAGTTTATGCTCAGTGTTGTAGCCTGGAAGTTTATGCTCAGTGTTGTAGCCTGGAAGTTTAGGCTCAGTGTTGTAACCTAGAAGTTTATGCTCAGTGTTGTAGCCTGGAAGTTTAGGCTCAGTGTTGTAGCCTTGAAGTTTATGCTCAGTGTTGTAACCTAGAAGTTTATGCTCAGTGTTGTAGCCTGGAAGTTTATGCTCAGTGTTGTATCCTGGAAGTTTAGGCTCAGTGTTGTAGCCTAGAAGTTTATGGTCAGTGTTGTAGCCTGGACGTTTATGCTCAGTGTTGTAGCCTAGAAGTTTATGCTCAGTGTTGTAGCCTGGAAGTTTAGGCTCAGTGTTGTAGCCTAGAAGTTTATGGTCAGTGTTGTAGCCTGGAAGTTTATGCTCAGTGTTGTAACCTAGAAGTTTATGCTCAGTGTTGTAGCCTGGAAGTTTAGGCTCAGTGTTGTAGCCTAGAAGTTTATGGTCAGTGTTGTAGCCTGGACGTTTATGCTCAGTGTTGTAACCTAAAAGTTTATGCTCAGTGTTGTAACCTAGAAGTTTATGCTCAGTGTTGTAACCTAGAAGTTTATGCTCAGTGTTGTAACCTAGAAGTTTATGCTCAGTGTTGTAACCTGGAAGTTTATGCTCAGTGTTGTAACCTAGAAGTTTATGCTCAGTGTTGTAGCCTGGAAGTTTATGCTCAGTGTTGTAGCCTAGAAGTTTATGCTCAGTGTTGTAGCCTGAAAGTTTATGCTCAGTGTTGTAGCCTTGAACAACATGTCACCAATACCTCAATATATGTAGTGGTTTGGCCGGTGCCTGACTTAGTCTGTTTGTATTCTTGCTCTGTAAGCCGTTCTGTGTATTCTATTCTGTAAAATTTAGAAAGATTTGAAAGTCTGAATTTGTGACACACAGTAGTTCCTTCTACCCCAGGGTGCAGTATGTGGTGCTGGCCATTGTGCTGTGTGCCATCGTCGCAGCACTCATCCTGTTCTTCCTGTACCCACGAGACGTGAACGTCGGCAGCAACCGACCTCTCCTCAACCCAATCAGTTTGTATGTGGATCAGAAGAAGGTTTTTGCCAATCTCACGATAGTGGTGAGTAGCATTGTATCTACAGATATACAGTGGGTCCTGCTGTAGTGGTTGGTGGGGGTGGATCCTGTTGTGTCGGGTGGGGTGGATCCTGTAGTGGTGGGTTGGGGTGGATCCTGCTGTAGTGGTGGGTGGAGAAAGATGCTGTAGTGGTGGGCGGGGTGGATCCTGTATTGATGGGCCGGGGTGGATCCTCCTAAAGTGGTGGGTGGGGTAGATCCTGTAGTGGTGGGTGGGATGGATCCTGTAGTGGTGGGTGGGGGTGGATCCTGCTGTAGTGGTGGGTGGGGTGGATCCTGTGGTGGTAGTGGGGGGTGGATCCTGTAGTGGTGGATGGGGATAGATCCTGCTGTAGTGGTGGGTGGGGTGGATCCTGTGGTGGTAGTGGGGGGTGGATCCTGTAGTGGTGGGTGGGGTGGATCCTGTAGTGGTGGGGGTGAATCATGTTGTGGTTGGTGGGGGTGGATCCTGTTGTGGTGGGTGTGGATAGATCCTGTAGTGGTGGTGGGGGTGGATCCTGTAGTGGTGGGTGGGGTTGGATCCTGTAGTGGTGGGGGTGGGGTTGGATCCTGTAGAGGTGGGTGGGGATCCTGTAGTGGTGGGGTGGATCCTGCTGTAGTGGTGGGTGGGGTGGATCCTGTATTGATTGGTCGGGGTGGATCCTCCTAAAGTGGTGGGTGGGGTAGATCCTGTGGTGGTAGTGGGGGTGGATCCTGTAGTGGTGGGTGGGGTGGGTCCTGTAGTGGTGGGGGTGGATCCTGTAGTGGTGGGTGGGGTTGGATCCTGTAGTGGTGGGGGTGAATCATGTTGTGGTTTTGGGGGTGGATCCTGTTGTGGTGGGTGTGGATAGATCCTGTAGTGGTGGTGGGGGTGGATGCTGTAGTGGTGGGTGGGGTTGGATCCTGTAGTGGTGGGGGTGGATCCTGTAGTGGTGGATAGGGTGGGTCCTGTAGAGGTGGGGGTGGATCCTGTAGTGGTGGGTGGGGTGGATCCTGTGGTGGTAGTGGGGTGGATCCTGTAGTGGTGGGTGGGGTGGATCCTGTAGTGGTGGGGGGTGGATCCTGTAGTGGTGGGTGGGGGTGGATCCTGTAGTGGTGGGTGGGGGTGGATCCTGTAGTGGTGGGGGTGGATCCTGTAGTGGTGGGTGGGGTTGGATCCTGTAGTGGTGGGGGGGGTGGATGCTGTAATGGTGGGTAGGGTGGGTCCTGTAGAGGTGGGGGTGGATCCTGTAGTGGTGGGTGGGGTGGATCCTGTGGTGGTAGTGGGGGTGGATCCTGTAGTGGTGGGTGGGGTGGATCCTGTAGAGGTGGGGGGTGGATCCTGTAGTGGTGGGGGGTGGATCCTGTAGTGGTGGGTGGGGTGGATCCTGTAGTGGTGGGGGTGGATCCTGTAGTGGTGGGTGGGGTTGGATCCTGTAGTGGTGGGTGGGGGTGGATGCTGTAATGGTGGGTAGGGTGGGTCCTGTAGTGGTTGGGGTGGATCCTGTTGTGGTGGGTGTGGATCCTGTAGTGTTGGGTGGGTGTGGATCCGTGAGTGGTGGGGGGGTGGATCCTGTAGTGGTGGGGTGGATGCTGTAGTGGTGGGGTGGGGTGGATCCTGTAGTGGTGGGGTGGATCCTGTAGTGGTGGGTGGGGTGGCATCATGATTCATAGATTAAATCTGGCATCATGATTCAAAGATTAAATCTGGCATCATGATTCAAAGATTCAATCTGGCATCATGATTCATATATTCATAGATTAAATTTGACACCCTGATTCATAGATTAAATCTGGAATCATGATTCATAGATTAAATCTGGCATCGTGATTCATATATTCATAGATTAAATATGGCATCATGATTCATAGATTAAATCTGGCATCATGATTCAAAGATTAAATCTGGCATCATGATTCAAAGATTAAATCTGGCATCATGATTCATATATTCATAGATTAAATTTGACACCCTGATTCATAGATTAAATCTGGAATCATGATTCATAGATTAAATCTGGCATCGTGATTCATATATTCATAGATTAAATCTGGCATCATGATTCATAGATTAAATCTGGCATCATGATTCATAGATTAAATCTGGCATCGTGATTCATATATTCATAGATTAAATCTGGCATCATGATTCATAGATTAAATCTGGCATCATGATTCATAGATTAAATCTGGCATCGTGATTCATATATTCATAGATTAAATCTGGCATCATGATTCATAGATTAAATCTGGCATCATGATTCATAGATTAAATCTGGCATCGTGATTCATATATTCATAGATTAAATCTGGCATCATGATTCATAGATTAAATCTGGCATCATGATTCATATATTCATAGATTAAATTTGGCACCATGATTCATAGATTAAATCTGGCATCATGATTCATAGATTAAATCTGGCATCGTGATTCATATATTCATATATTAAATCTGGCATCATGATTCATAGATTAAATCTGGCATCGTGATTCATAGATTAAATCTGGCATCGTGATTCATATATTCATAGATTAAATCTGACATCATGATTCATAGATTAAATCTGGCATCATGATTCATATATTCATAGATTAAATCTGACATCATGATTCATAGATTAAATCTGGCATCATGATTCATATATTCATAGATTAAATCTGGCACCATGATTCATAGATTAAATCTGGCATCGTGATTCATATATTCATAGATTAAATCTGGAATCATGATTCATAGATTAAATCTGGCATCGTGATTCATATATTCATAGATTAAATCTGGCATCATGATTCATTGATTAAATCTGGCATCATGATTCATAGATTAAATCTGGCATCATGATTCATAGATTAAATCTGGCATCATGATTCATATATTCATAGATTAAATTTGGCACCATGATTCATAGATTAAATCTGGCATCATGATTCATATATTCATATATTAAATCTGGCACCCTGATTCATAGATTAAATCTGGCATCATGATTCATAGATTAAATCTGGCATCGTGATTCATAGATTAAATCTGGCATCATGATTCATAGATTAAATCTGGTATCATGATTCATAGATTAAATCTGGCATCATGATTCATAGATTAAATCTGGCATCATGATTCATAGATTAAATCTGGCATCGTGATTCATATATTCATAGATTAAATTTGGCACCATGATTCATAAATTAAATCTGGCATCATGATTCATAGATTAAATCTGGCATCGTGATTCATATATTCATAGATTAAATCTGGCATCGTGATTCATATATTCATATATTAAATCTGGCATCATGATTTATATATTCATAGATTAAATCTGGCATCATGATTCATAGATTAAATCTGACATCATGATTCATAGATTAAATCTGGCATGATGATTCATATATTCATAGATTAAATTTGGCACCCTGATTCATATATTAAATCTGGCATCATGATTCATAGATTAAATCTGGCATCATGATTCATAGATTAAATCTGGCATCATGATTCATAGATTAAATCTGGTATCATGATTCATAGATTAAATCTGGCATCATGATTCATAGATTAAATCTGGCATCATGATTCATAGATAAAATCTGGCATCATGATTCATATATTTATAGATTAAATTTGGCACCATGATTCATAGATTAAATCTGGCATCATGATTCTTAGATTAAATCTAGCATCGTGATTCATATATTTAGAGATTAAATCTGGCATCATGATTCATAGATTAAATCTGGCATCGTGATTCATATATTCATAGATTAAATCTGGCATCATGATTCATATATTCATAGATTAAATCTGGCATCATGATTCATAGATTAAATCTGGCATCATGATTCACAGATTAAATCTTTCATCGTGATTCATATATTCATAGATGAGATTTGGCACCCTGATTCATAGATTAAATCTGGCATCATGATTCATAGATTAAATCTGGCATGATGATTCATAGATTAAATCTGGCATCATGATTCATAGATTAAATCTGGTATCATGATTCATAGATTAAATCTCTCATCATGATTCATAGATTAAATCTGGCATCATGATTCATAGATTAAATCTGGCATCATGATTCATAGATTAAATCTTTCATCGTGGTTCATATATTCATAGATTAAATTTGGCACCATGATTCATAGATTAAATCTGGCATCATGATTCATAGATTAAATCTGGCATCATGATTCATATATTCATATATTAAATCTGGCATCATGATTCATAGATTAAATCTGGCATCATGATTCATAGATTAAATCTGGCATCGTGATTCATATATTCATAGATTAAATTTGGCACTCTGATTCATAGATTAAATCTGGCATCATGATTCATAGATTAAATCTGGCATCATGATTCATAGATTAAATCTGGCATCATGATTCATAGATTAAATCTGGTATCATGATTCATAGATTAAATCTGGCATCATGATTCATAGATTAAATCTGGCATCATGATTCATAGATAAAATCTGGCATCATGGTTCATATATTCATAGATTAAATTTGGCACCATGATTCATAGATTAAATCTGGCATCATGATTCTTAGATTAAATCTAGCATCGCGGATTCATATATTTAGAGATTAAATCTGGCATCATGATTCATAGATTAAATCTGGCATCGTGATTCATATATTCATAGATTAAATCTGGCATCATGATTCATATATTCATAGATTAAATCTGGCATCATGATTCATAGATTAAATCTGGCATCATGATTCACAGATTAAATCTTTCATCGTGATTCATATATTCATAGATGAGATTTGGCACCCTGATTCATAGATTAAATCTGACATCATGATTCATAGATTAAATCTGGCATGATGATTCATAGATTAAATCTGGCATCATGATTCATAGATTAAATCTGGTATCATGATTCATAGATTAAATCTCTCATCATGATTCATAGATTAAATCTGGCATCATGATTCATAGATTAAATCTGGCATCATGATTCAGTAGATTAAATCTTTCATCGTGATTCATATATTCATAGATTAAATTTGGCACCATGATTCATAGATTAAATCTGGCATCATGATTCATAGATTAAATCTGGCATCATGATTCATATATTCATAGATTAAATCTGGCATCATGATTCATAGATTAAATCTGGCATCATGATTCATAGATTAAATCTGGCATCGTGATTCATATATTCATAGATTAAATTTGGCACTCTGATTCATAGATTAAATCTGGCATCATGATTCATAGATTAAATCTGGCATCATGATTCATAGATTAAATCTGGCATCATGATTCATAGATTAAATCTGGTATCATGATTCATAGATTAAATCTGGCATCATGATTCATAGATTAAATCTGGCATCATGATTCATAGATAAAATCTGGCATCATGATTCATATATTCATAGATTAAATTTGGCACCATGATTCATAGATTAAATCTGGCATCATGATTCTTAGATTAAATCTAGCATCGTGATTCATATATTTAGAGATTAAATCTGGCATCATGATTCATAGATTAAATCTGGCATCGTGATTCATATATTCATAGATTAAATCTGGCATCATGATTCATATATTCATAGATTAAATCTGGCATCATGATTCATAGATTAAATCTGGCATCATGATTCACAGATTAAATCTTTCATCGTGATTCATATATTCATAGATGAGATTTGGCACCCTGATTCATAGATTAAATCTGGCATCATGATTCATAGATTAAATCTGGCATGATGATTCATAGATTAAATCTGGCATCATGATTCATAGATTAAATCTGGTATCATGATTCATAGATTAAATCTCTCATCATGATTCATAGATTAAATCTGGCATCATGATTCATAGATTAAATCTGGCATCATGATTCGTAGATTAAATCTTTCATCGTGGTTCATATATTCATAGATTAAATTTGGCACCATGATTCATAGATTAAATCTGGCATCATGATTCATAGATTAAATCTGGCATCATGATTCATATATTCATATATTAAATCTGGCATCATGATTCATAGATTAAATCTGGCATCATGATTCATAGATTAAATCTGGCATCGTGATTCATATATTCATAGATTAAATTTGGCACTCTGATTCATAGATTAAATCTGGCATCATGATTCATATATTCATAGATTAAATTTGGCACCATGATTCATAGATTAAATCTCTCATCATGATTCATAGATTAAATCTGGCATCATGATTCATAGATTAAATCTGGCATCATGATTCGTAGATTAAATCTTTCATCGTGGTTCATATATTCATAGATTAAATTTGGCACCATGATTCATAGATTAAATCTGGCATCATGATTCATAGATTAAATCTGGCATCATGATTCATATATTCATATATTAAATCTGGCATCATGATTCATAGATTAAATCTGGCATCATGATTCATAGATTAAATCTGGCATCGTGATTCATATATTCATAGATTAAATTTGGCACTCTGATTCATAGATTAAATCTGGCATCATGATTCATATATTCATAGATTAAATTTGGCACCATGATTCATAGATTAAATCTGGCATCATGATTCATAGATTAAATCTGGCATCGTGATTCATATATTCATATATTAAATCTGGCATCATGATTCATATATTAAATTTGGCACCATGATTCATAGATTAAATCTGGCATCATGATTCATTGATTAAATTTGGCACCATGATTCATAGATTAAATCTGGCATCATGATTCATAGATTAAATCTGGCATCGTGATTCATATATTCATAAATTAAATCTGGCATCATGATTCATAGATTAAATCTGGCATCGTGATTCATATATTCATATATTAAATCCAGCATCATGATTCATAGATTAAATCTGGCATCATGATTCATTTATTAAATCTGGCATCATGATTCATAGATTAAATCTGGCATCATGATGTATATATTCATAGATTAAATCTGGCATCGTGATTCATAGATTTAAGCACACATGATTCTAGCTTGTTGCTTGGACCGTGCCTGACTTAAGTCTGCCTCAACTATCAGTGTGTTACTCCCATGTTTCCTGTGTGTTCAGAACTCCTACAACTTCACCAACAACAACTACTTCCCCGTCGAGGTGACAGGGGCTCAGATGGTTTCACTGTACGACAACAAACAGATCACCGTGGCCCAAAACAAAACCAGTGTCGACCTCCCCACACGTGGAACAGGAAGATACGATATTGTTATGAATTTGATATTTGAGAAGGAAAATGATTGGGATTTCCTGGTGTAAGTATCTGAAGATTTTTTTGTGTTTTGTAGTCAAGGAGACATGTTGTCAGCATTTCCTCACACTTCAAGTAACACTGGACCCAGGTCACATCTGTAGACAAATAGTGTCAGTGTTTGACAGTCTAACCTTATACCATATCCTTTCTACATATCTTGGTTTTATTTTCAGTGCATACTAAAGATTTAGAGTATTTTCAAGTCTGTCAAGTAATACATTTTAGTAGTAGTTCTATATTTATGTGTGTACAACAGAGGATACTCCTGATCATATCATATTACTTGATGTGAACTTCGGTATCAACTTGTATCTTCACATGGTTTTTAAGTTGATTATTATGAAAGTTGTTTTCGTGTTGCAGGTGTTTCTGTGATTATTATGAAAGTTGTTTTCGTGTTGCAGGCGTTTCTGTGAAGATGCAAGGCCATGGGTGCACAATCTCCCAATAACGTTTGAGTAAGTTGTCATGGAAACCGAACAGTTCTCTTCCTCTTGTTTCACGTCTTCAAACTGTAAATATCTGGATTATTTTCAAGAGTATATGTTTAGTTCTCCTTTCAACAGAAGATTTGGTGAGATTGTGTGATATCTGCTGGTGATGTTGTTAGCTCAGAAGAGTTGGTGAGATTGTGTGATATCTGCTGGTGATGTTGTTACCTCGGAAGAGTTGGTGAGATTGTGTGATGTCTGCTGGTGATGTTACCTCGGAAGATTTGGTGAGATTGTGTAATATCTGCTGGTGATGTTGTTACCATGGAAGAGTTGGTGAGATTGTGTGATATCTGCTGGTGATGTTGTTAGCTCGGAAGAGTTGGTGAGATTGTGTGATATCTGCTGGTGATGTTGTTACCACGGAAGAGTTGGTGAGATTGTGTGATATCTTTTGGTGATGTTGTTACCTCGGAAGAGTTGGTGAGATTGTGTGATATCTTGGTGATGTTGTTACCTCGAAGAGTTGGTGAGATTGATATCTGCTGGTGATGTTGTTAGAAGATTGGTGAGATTGTGTGATATCTGCTGGTGATGTTGTTACCACGAAAGATTGGTGAGATCGGAAGAGTTGTGTGATATCTGCTGGTGATGTTGTTAGCTCAGAAGAGTTGGTGAGATTGTGTGATATCTGCTGGTGATGTTGTTACCACGGAAGAGTTGGTGAGATTGTGTGATATCTGCTGATTGTGTGATATCTGCTGGTGATGTTGTTACCACGGAAGAGTTGGTGAGATTGTGTGATATCTGCTGATTGTGTGATATCTGCTGGTGATGTTGTTAGCACGGAAGAGTTGGTGAGATTGTGTGATATCTGCTGGTGATGTTGGTGATGTTGTTAGCTCGGAAGAGTTGGTGAGATTGTGTGATATCTGCTGGTGATGTTGTTAGCCACAGAAGAGTTGGTGAGATTGTGTGATATCTGCTGGTGATGTTGTTACCACGGAAGAGTTGGTGAGATTTGTGTGATATCTGCTGGTGATGTTGTTAGCTCGGAAGAGTTGGTGAGATTGTGTGATATCTGCTGGTGATGTTGTTACCACGGAAGAGTTGGTGAGATTGTGTGATATCTGGTGATGTTGTTACCTGAAGAGTTGGTGAGATGATATCTGCTGGTGATGTTGTTAGCCTCGGAAGAGTTGGTGAGATTGTGTGATATCTGCTGGTGATGTTGTTAGCTCAGAAGAGTTGGTGAGATTGTGTGATATCTGCTGGTGATCTGCTGGTGATGTTGTTGCCACGGAAGAGTTGGTGAGATTGTGTGATATCTGCTGGTGATGTTGTTAGCTCGGAAGAGTTGGTGAGATTGTGTGATATCTGCTGGTGCAGTTGTTACCACGGAAGAGTTGGTGAGATTGTGTGATATCTGCTGGTGATGTTGTTACCTCGGAAGATAGGGGCGGTGGGGTATCCTTGTGGTTAAAGCGTTCACTTGTCACCCCGAAGACCTGGGTGTGATTGTCCCTATATGAGCACAATGTGTGAAGCCCATTTCTGGTGTCCCCCGCTGTGATATGGCTGGAATATTGCTAAATGCGGCGTAAAACTGAACTCTTTGAACAACAAACATGATTTGCTATGCAGAGTCACTTCCCTTGGCTAGGCCATTATATTAGTGAGTTAGTATGGTTTAACGCCGTTTTTAGCAATATTCCAGCAATATCACGGCGGGCCATTATATGAAGAGATTTACATTAAAAACTGTCTCTTTACACCATCTCTGGCTGGTTAGACCAAGTGTACAAAATGTCAGAACCTGCATCACCTGTAGTTGTCCTATCACAATACAAGTGATGGAACTGTCATGCTATAAAGTAGCATTAACTCTGATGTTTTGCAGCTCTGGCCTCTGATCCTTAACCTTGAGTCTCTCCAGTCGTCGGATCTCCTGGTTTGAGTGAGTGAGTGAGTATGGTTTTACGCCGCTTTTAGCAATATTCCAGCAATGTCACGGCGGGGAACACCAGAAGTGGGCTTCACACATTTCCTGGTAAAACAAGATGCCTTACAACCTGGCTGGTTGTCGATATTCTCATTCAGAGTAGGTCCAGTGCTGCCTTACATCATAAGGTTCCTAGGACAGACAATGTGTCTCACTACTAATGTTTGTGCAGCCTGTAAGTTTCTAGATTAGACAGGGTCCTTAGCAATCTTTACTGGTCCAGCCTATAGGATTCCAGATTAAACGGGGTCCTTGCAATCTGTACTAGTCAAAGCTAAATGGACCGGATGGCCAACCTCGGACACCTGCTTGAAAGTGCAAGTGTACCACATGATGTGGATTGTTGCTAATAATACAGATCACTGGATTGTCTGGTCTGGCCTCTTAATCATATAAATAGAAAGATGCTGACTTTGTTTTTAAACATCAAATGAACAAACATTCTATGAAACATTTTTCAATATGTTAATTTCCTGTTTCCTGTTTTTCTAGATTAACAGCTAACTATAGTTATCTTGGCCACATCGAGCAGACGACACTGACCACTTTCCAACCCGTCTCCTGCTCTAACGCCACCGAGGTGTGATCCAGGCAGTAGCGAGCCTCCAGGTGAAGTCGGCCAATACACGGCTGGTGAATCCAGAGCTACCGAACACAAGTCACCTGGGCCCATGAACAAATGAATGAAGCTCAAGTGTTGGCAGACAAGAGGCACCATGCTGCTTCGTCAGGTTTTTGTTGCTGACTCAGAGAGACTGTAGAATCTGTAAGGTCATCTCAGCTTTTTAACCGTCAGCCTGTGAGAGGTGTTACACTTTCGTTTTTAATAACGCCGTCTGCTACATCCAGTAAGATATTGTCGCATATTTCTTATAGGCTCAACAACCCAAGATTTCTTGAATCAGGAGAAGAAGTATAATTTGGTCTTTTTTCGTACAGTCAAATGTATGGCATCATTCAGATATCAGCATGGAAATACAGGAAGGGAGGTAACTCTATATGTAACAATGTATGACGTCATTGAGATATCAACATGGACATACAGGAAGGGAGGTAACTCTAAATCTAACAAGTATCCCACACAAAACTTTCTCTGTAATGTCCATCTTCAATTAAAATGATGTCATTTCTAGAGGTAGCATTTCAGCATCTTATTGCCGTTTTGAAGCCTGACCTTTTATTTTGAAGGCAAATCTGTAAGCAAGTACTGGAGATAGATAACGTCTGTTCACTGACCAGACAAGTAATGAAGATAGATAACATACGTTCACTGACCAAACAAGTACTAAAGATAGATAACGTACGTTCACTGACCAGACATATGTCATTGAGTGATGGGATTGAGGTGTCTTGCTTTTACTCTCATGAAAACAATTATAGGAAGTTTGTCAGGTGAATTGTGTGGCTGCACACTACCTGAAGGACGACGCTGACTGTCAGGTGAATTGTGTGGCTGCACACTACCTGAAGGACGACGCTGACTGTCAGGTGAATTGTGTGGCTGCACACTACCTGAAGGACGACGCTGACTGTCAGGTGAATTGTGTGGCTGCACACTACCTGAAGGACATCACTGACTGTCAGGTGAATTGTGTGGCTGCACACTACCTGAAGGACATCACTGACTGTCAGGTGAATTGTGTGGCTGCACACTACCTGAAGGACATCACTGACTGTCAGGTGAATTGTGTGGCTGCACACTACCTGAAGGACGACGCTGACTGTCAGGTGAATTGTGTGGCTGCACACTACCTGAAGGACATCACTGACTGTCATGTGAATTGTGTGGCTGCACACTACCTGAAGGACATCACTGACTGTCATGTGAATTGTGTGGCTGCACACTACCTGAAGGACGACACTGACTGTCAGGTGAATTGTGTGGCTGCACACTACCTGAAGGACGACGCTGACTGTCAGGTGAATTGTGTGGCTGCACACTACCTGAAGGAACGACGCTGACTGTCATGTTAATTGTGTGGCTGCACACTACCTGAAGGACATCACTGACTGTCAGGTGAATTGTGTGGCTGCACACTACCTGAAGGACGACACTGACTGTCAGGTGAATTGTGTGGCTGCACACTACCTGAAGGACATCACTGACTGTCAGGTGAATTGTGTGGCTGCACACTACCTGAAGGACATCACTGACTGTCATGTGAATTGTGTGGCTGCACACTACCTGAAGGACGACACTGACTGTCAGGTGAATTGTGTGGCTGCACACTACCTGAAGGACATCACTGACTGTCAGGTGAATTGTGTGGCTGCACACTACCTGAAGGACATCACTGACTGTCAGGTGAATTGTGTGGCTGCACACTACCTGAAGGACATCACTGACTGTCAGGTGAATTGTGTGTGGCTGCACACTACCTGAAGGACATCACTGACTGTCAGGTGAATTGTGTGGCTGCACACTACCTGAAGGACATCACTGACTGTCAGGTGAATTGTGTGGCTGCACACTACCTGAAGGACATCACTGACTGTCAGGTGAATTGTGTGGCTGCACACTACCTGAAGGACGACACTGACTGTCAGGTGTGTTGTGTGGCTGCACACTACCTGAAGGACATCACTGACTGTCAGGTGAATTGTGTGGCTGCACACTACCTGAAGGACGACACTGACTGTCAGGTGAATTGTGTGGCTGCACACTACCTGAAGGACATCACTGACTGTCATGTGAATTGTGTGGCTGCACACTACCTGAAGGACGACGCTGACTGTCAGGTGAATTGTGTGGCTGCACACTACCTGAAGGACGACACTGTCTGTCAGGTGAATTGTGTGGCTGCACACTACCTGAAGGACGACACTGTCTGTCAGGTGAATTGTGTGGCTGCACACTACCTGAAGGACGACACTGTCTGTCAGGTGAATTGTGTGGCTGCACACTACCTGAAGGACGACACTGTCTGTCAGGTGAATTGTGTGGCTGCACACTACCTGAAGGACGACACTGACTGTCAGGTGAATTGTGTGGCTGCACACTACCTGAAGGACGACACTGTCTGTCAGGTGAATTGTGTGGCTGCACACTACCTGAAGGACATCACTGACTGTCAGGTGAATTGTGTGGCTGCACACTACCTGAAGGTCGACACTGTCTGTCAGGTGAATTGTGTGGAATGTTCTCATGTTCTTCTTTTGATGAGGCATGAATGAATCTTGAACCTAACGCGATGGCAGCTGACATGTTGTGTAGGTTTCCTTGTGTAGAGATACATGTTGTGTTTTCTTCAGCTGAAATAATTTTACTGTAGTTTTCCTGCTTTCTTCCCACAGTGGCCACTTCACGTGTATAGGATCAGTAAAGGAAGGCAATGGTTCCTTTTTGTGTATTGTAGTATTTTTGTCTTATCTTTTTCTAATCCATCAAAAACAGAGTAGTCGTTAAAATAAGGATAACTTTAGGAGTTTATCAGAGAAAGAAGCGAGGCCATAAATGTGTCTTTCATTTTTGAGCTGGATAAATCTCACCACTAGGTGTACTCCACGACAATGATGATCTGAATGTGACACGTCTATCCTCCATTACCTGACTCACATTGATGTAACTGAACTCACTAACTCCCAGCCGCCACACCATGATTTAACTGAAATACTGTTCCAAAGAGCATTGACCAAAACTCATTCAACACCACTTTCAGTGCACATATTGAAGATTATTATTGGACGTATCACAATGCCCTTCCAGAATACAATTTATTACCTATGAGGGCGAACATGTCGGGGTCCATATTTTTCATATGATGTCTTAGGGAAAAATATCACTTTGTCATGGTGACGTGACGTCATGAACAAGGGTATGACGTCACTTTTCTTGTGTGATGTTGCGTTCTACGTGCGGCGATGGCTGGTAGCCAGCCTGTGTTTGAAAGTAGATTTGGGTTTATTTTCCTCAATTTGACGACTTCGGTAATAAACGAATATTATATGAGTGCCCATATCATACTTTGTTTATGACGCTAGTGCCTAAATATCGGTATATCCCTCGCTCTCGCTCGGAAAATACCAACATTTAGGCACTCGTGTTGTAAACAGTATGACATGGGCACTCATATAATATCCTCTATATACACACTGAAAGTTATCCATCCCATAGTGGCCAAACTGAACCACATGGGGTCACACTTTTATGACTTTTGTTTCTTGATGTAAGTGTGGGTGGGGCTTGTTGCGTTTTGTGGCTATGTGATGTCACTGATTTGATTTGTTGTCTATCATTCTTTTTTTTCTTTTTCTTTTTTTGTGTACAAATGTTTTAAGTAAGCTGTTTTGGGAGTTAGTATTGTGGATGTATTTATTTACTAAAGAATTTATTTCAGCATGGTTATGTGTTTATGAAGTATGAACTTAAAACCCAATGTGCATGTGATTTTACACGAATATCCATTGACGCAGATTTGTACAGGTTTATGTTTTTATCCACCGTAAAACAAAACCATATTGAAGTCAGTTCTTAAACAAACCAAGGATTTTTATGCAGTTTTTGTATGGCATATTATCGTATCTCCTACAGTTTTTACCCTTTACAATAATAGTGAAGATCTTGAACAACAAGTAGACCTGTTTTTCTTCTATAATTTGTTTTTTCAGTCATTCCTGTGCTTCACATCTAAGTTTATGTTTTGTATATTGAGGACAATGGCACGTGTATATAGAGCACAATGGCACGTGTATATAGAGCACAATGGCATGTGTATATAGAGCACAATGGCACGTGTATATACAGCACAATGGCACGCATATATCTTACATTGTAAAAATTCATGTCATTCTGCATTATTTGGCACTATCATATACAGTATTTTTTAATAATGTTATTGATATTAATAAGAGAAAAATGATGTGTGTTCTACTTTGTCTGTTTAGTTATCTTGGCAGAATATCCCCAACATTTGGTGTTGGAGTAGACAACCTAGGTTAATGAGAGATTTGGCTGCCCTTCATTGTACTGATGGCAGTGCCCATGACATCGACCACTGGTTCAGCTGACCAAGGCGTGTTTGTTTTACTGGCTGCCATGATGTAGGTTGAACATTGCTGACTGATGTAAATCAACACTCGTTCCATATTATTATTATTTATCATATTATCATGCAGGTTGTGTTCTCAGTAGTTCTGCTCAGATATTTAAATGGACAATGGGTGCCTCCTGTAGACGTGTATGTAACCGCTCCACATCTTACTGTCCTGAGTGTTAGACAGTCACTGTCTATGTTGCTGGGGACAACACTGAACACTTAACCGTTCAAGCACATGGGGGGAATCCCCTTCTGTAGGGAAATCCCCCAATAGTTTTGCATGCAGCATAAGTAAAAGTGTGTGTCTGTGTGAGGCACATTATCCACAAATTGTTGAAATAGACATCTGTTTTGTAACATCCATGGGGAGTACCTGCCTCAGTTCTAAAACAGGGGCATTAATGATATTCCCATGAATAATCATAGTCACTACTGTGATTGAAATAATGTATATAATATGTATTCTCCACCTACACACACAAGTATGTCTTATGTACTAGTCAAAAGCCGTTAAAGGACAACCTGTTCTTCCAAATAGCCATGACAAATTATGTGTAGTATTCCCGAAGGAACTGGGCCTCTAACTTCTTTTGACTTCTTTGATGGGCATTTTTGAAGCTGAGTTGATGAAGAATAATGACAATTATTATTGATCTACGACTTCTTTTATTCTGTGGAGGCGAACGACAACGACATTAGAAACTATGTCGAAACGTCGTATATCCATAATAATTGTCATTATTCTTTTGACTTGAATATATTGTGAGATGTGTTTGTCCTATACAGCCACCTGTATATTATTACCACAATCTTTTATGAAAATAAAGTATTTATTGCGATGGATCTGTCATTTGTTACATTTATATGAAATATTAATGACACATTCCAAGTCTTATTTTCACCTCCATTTCCCACATAATACAGCAGATCTTCTGAACCTATTCATACATCATAAGGGGCGGTAGAGTTGCCAAGTGGTTAAAACGTTTGCTCGCCACGCTGAAGACCCTGTGTAACGGGCCGTAGTATACCCCAGTCCCAGACTATACCCAGGGTATATTCTGGACTAGACCATAGTATACCCCCAGCCCAGACTAT